AACACCACCAATAACACTACCAATAACACTACCGATAACGCCACCGACAACAGCAGCAACAACAACACAACCACCAACACCACCACCGACAACACCCCGGACAACACCCCCGACACCACCCCCGACACCACCAACGACACCACCACCGACAGCACCACCGACAACACCCACGACAATACCACCGACAGCACCACCGACAGCACCACCGACAGCACCACCGACAGCACCAACGACAGCACCACCGACATCACAAACTGCTACTGCAGCACCACCAACAATAACAACACAAACCACAAAAACGGTAACCACCAAGACTTCTACAGGAGTCAAGAAAGAATCAGCTGCAGCGAGTGGATCTATCGGTAAGATCAGCCTGTGCATTAATTAAATATTACGCTTTAAATGTACTTATTAGTTTTTAAATTTCAGGTAATTTTTTGCTCACCATCATTTTTCCTGGTGCATGTGGTGTGATATTACTTATCATCATTGTCATCGTTCTTGCTTGCGTTTACTGTACAAGGAAAAAGAAAGGTTGGTATCTTATCGTTAATACTAACTACGAATGAACACGACAGAAATCGAACGTCTGCGCATGCAAGAAGTCAAAGATGTCTCGTTGCAGTCGTAAAAATATGCGACAGTCGACTTTCAAACTTCTCTTGCACATGGATTAAAAAATTAAAACAATTTTTTCTGTAAAGTCGAAGTAAATGAACATTTCTTTCCGTACGCACATGCGCAAACGTTTTTCTCTTCCTGACCGACGGACTGCGTGACTGACTGACTGACTGACTGGCGGACTGACGGACTGAGAGACTGGTTGATTGATATAAGCATGAATAGATCAAATAACTAACTGCCTAATAAATTTGAATTTCAGGAAAAAACGACGAAACCAGGTAATCTATAGCCAGAAGTATTCCTATGTTTAGTACGAGTTAAGTTTTTGTTATCTCATTATCGTTAATGCCAGTGCAAAAGTATAGTGGTGAAGGTGATGTGTATAAGTGCATAAGTATAGTGGTGAAGGTGATGTGTAGTGCATAAGTATAGTGGTGAAGGTGATG